GTATTCCTCCGAACTTTAATTCTTAAAGGTTTGATTTTTATGTTTTGATGTTGAATTCACTTTTTTGACGGCAAATTTGGGTGTACTATTTTGTTATGTTGGGGGTGTGGCTTATAGTCCGGTGCGGCTCATAAGTTAATGTTTGCGGGGKTTTTTTAAAAAATGGTGGGTGCAGCTTATAGTCCTAAAAATACAGTATATATTCTGTGTCTTGTCTTTGCTTCCCTGTTGGTTCATTATGCTCTCAGTGGCTAGTTTGGTTTGTCCTTCGGACCCCTCTGTTTTTTCCTTTGACATTAACATTTTTAGAATGTGTTTTTCTTGTCAATTAAACAAACAGATTTAGAGAAATTAATGCATGTCCACGTTTGAACTGCTGTGTGTCGTAAACCACAACAACTGATCAGATTTGAATTTTTCTACAGCTGGCTCAATTCGTCCCGACTCAAATGTCATAAAAGTTTGTGTTGAAACATGAAAGGTTGACATGAAATGATAAAATCGTGAGTCACAACAACTAGTTTTGGAAGAACCTTTTAGCTGTTTTAGCTCAAGATGTTCATTCTCCCTGTTGGTGAATACTTAAATATTAAATGACGTGTGTTTATTTATGATATATTTATGAACACTCTCATGCAAATTCCATCACTGTGGCAACCTGTACAGAACCACCGAAAAAAAMCCAACATTTTGCTTCTCATTTGAACACAGATTCAAGTTTATATCTTTGATCTGAGAAGAAAAAACCTGATTTATTCCCGTTTTTTCTGCTGTTTTGTTCCTGATCATGGACGGATGGATGAACTGATGGATGGATTGATGGAACACACGTAGGAAGAGACCTACTTTATGATGCAAAATCAATTCCTTAATGATTCTGCTTTGACTGATGACTTTTTTGCCATGGGACTTTATGTTAATATAAGCAGGGCTCTCTCCAACTTCACTGAACATCACCACTCAGACAAAACAAAAACAAAGAATCAAACTTCTGCTACCATCCACTATGGTTATGGTGAGTGGGAATGCATTAAGATACCATACAAGGGGGTCTCATAGGTGGGTCCACTGCTGTCCCCAAGCAGACTCTGGTCTTTATTCAAACCTTCAYRTACCTCAGATGAAGGTCACCAGGTTAGAAACACTCAGTGTTCTGAGCTTCTCAGGATTCTTTAACAAGGTTTTCCAAAAATTCTTTTCCTTTGACCACTCAGAGCCAGGCAATGGTCTAAGTAGAGCAAAGAGGTCTGTAGTTCAATGCCACAGGTATCACACAGACCATTGTCATGGAGTCCCATCACCATTTTATGGTGGTTGAGCAGATTGTGTCCAGTTAGGACTCCAAACAGAGTACTAAAGACCCCCACATACTTGGGCATACTTCGCTCCGCAGAGGTCCACGCAGAGATCAGGTTTTTTTTCTGTCTGCCGTGTTGCACAATAAACTGGCCAGAACTGTTTTGGATGTGAAACCAAGCTGATAAAGTTGAAAATCTGTGTTTTGTGGACAAAATGGAGTCAAATTCTGAAGAGCGTCTCATGGAGGAGATTAGAAAACTTTATGATACGTCAGTGAAGGAATCTGAAGACTTTCAGGGAGCAACAAATGGCTCACAGACTGCACACAGTACGCCTGAGTATGTGGGAGACTTTAGAGTTTACCTTGACAGGGAGATGAGGTTTTTCAAACCTTAGATTTGAGTCGTTTATCAGTTCCTGTGCCTGTCTACAGTCCGCCAGCTCCCTGCAGAGGACTGAGTGTTGATCTCTATTCCAGGCCTGTACGGCAGTCCTACAGACTGTTGCTGAGGTACCTACAACAGGCTCTGGTCCTTTGAAGTGAGCCCGAC